CCCCGGCGAAGGCGCCGCGCTTCCCCGCTCCCTCTTGCCGGCTTTCTCTGTCCGTTTATGCTTATGACGAAGGATTCATTATTCAGAAATCTTTCCAATAAGGGTTTGCTCTTAGATAGATAGATAGATAGATAGATAGATAGATGGATAGATGGTTAGATAAATGGATAGATAAATGGATAGATAGATGGATAGATAAATGGATAGATAGATTGATAGATAAATGGATAGATAGAAGGATAGATAAATGGATAGATAGAAGGATAGATAGATGGATAGATAGACGGATAGATAGATAGATGGATAGGTAGATGGATATATGCATAGATAGATAGATTAGATTATAGTTATTATTTCTGCAGGTAGGTATATACAACCTGGTGGCAGAACACTTCAATTAACAGTTAGGAACGTTGATACAATGTAATTTTAAAAACATTTTAAGACAATAATAGTAATAAAAATATCATAACAATAAAGACAATAATAACAATAACAGGATTAACTCTACATTTTATGACTGTCCTGCACGCATATTTTAACTTATAAATACCCTTTTTAAATACACTGCTCTTCACTTGACTTCAGTACACTTGCACTTTTCTCTTTCTAGTTCTCTATTGCACTACACTTCACAACACGTCACGACACTTCAATTCCACTACTACTTTAAATTTAATTATATATTTAATAAAGCAATGAATTAACTCAACACCTAAACTGTTAATTCTGAACAGTTGACGTTTCGTAACGCGAAATAACAGCTATTTCGCTTATCCTGCGCTGCACAAGCTTGACAGTGTTACCAACGTTATTGGTTTTACCTCGTTTAACGCTTAGCAGTCGGCCATTTTAGGTTACTGATCTTGGACCTACATATTTTTCAACTGTTATTAATAACCGTTATTACGAGACAACTGTTATTCCGAAAACAGTTATTGAAGAATAGCTGTTAAGCCCATCCCTACTTCCCAATACGTACCTTCTATTCAAAAGATTTAGAAACGTTGTATGGCAAGTGCGTGCGCGCGCTGAGGATGTCTGGCGCCCGCAGGCGTTCGAGGCCGTGTCGGTGCTGTTCTGCGAGCTGGAGGGCCTGCGCGCGGGCGGGCTGCAGGGGGCCATGGACGCCGTCACCTCCATGAACGCGGCTTTCTCCTGCTTCGACGAACTCACCGACCACTTCGGGGTCTACAAGGTGAGCGTCCTTCACGCCAAGTGCGCTTTGACGCGTTGCCAACTCATTTTAGGGTGGATTTGGTTTGTTGTAAAGGAGTGCCCTATTTAAATAGAATTCATTATTATGGAAAACATAATTGTAGTAATAACGAAACATTTAAACAAAAAATAAAGAAGGGAAAGGTACAAGGCAAGGCAGTGAAAATTGAAATACTTGGTGTTAAAACAAACAATGACGATTAATAAATAGCAATTGGATCTGGAAACGAAGAAATATTTTAATACGTATACTAACTAGAAGAAGTATTTTTTTATTACTCCAAATTTTCACTATAGTAATGAATCTAGAGTTACCTAATATTATATTTAAAATAATATTTTATTATAAATATTCTTTTATTACAAATATTCTTTTATTAGAAAAATTGTTACTCTTAATTTGTCATGAGTTATAGAAGTATACAGGTATACAATTTAATAATTTAAAATATTATCGCTTCTTTTTTGCATGACAATATAAAATTAAAAAGTGTGAATGGAAAGTGTTCTTTCAATGATTCTTATTAATAAACCTAGTTCTTGAATTACTAATGGTTTTTAGGCATTTTTTGAAGCTCGCATTTTCTACACACGAAAGGAGCATTTTCAATGTCTGGCATAAACGGTAGACAAATATATTCTTTCTCCGTGAAATTTGACGCTGCTACCTTTGTGTTACACTTTGAAGTCGCCAGAGTGAGTGATAGAATTAATTCACAACAGCTGTATTTATATGGAAATGTTTCGTTTTACTGGATATTAATACCTATTTGTTGATAAAAATAAAACATTGTTATTGTAAAATTAGCGTAAACATGAAATATTGCGCACGTACAAAACTGATCGGCAGGATGCCTCATTCATGAAGTCTACCGACTGTATAAACCGTAGTCAATAGCATTTCTTGTTTCTGACTTTCAACAACCATATGCACGAACCAAGCAATGTTGGTTCCAAAATGCTAAATTACACAAATACCGAATTAGTGTATTTAATGATCAATGTGTAGGTGTATTGTTGAGTATATTCATATTAAAATTGCTTGAATAACCGAAATAACATAATAACATTGTTTCTTCAATATTATCCGATTCCTACATGCATTCTTTATTACATTTTTGTAGCATTACAGAAGTTGGTGGGAAAGCTGGTACACCATTCATCATCTTATTTTATTAGTTTTACGAAAGGGTATTAGAATCAAAATTTCTAACAAAATATCTTTATAAAACCTTTATTTAATTTCTCTCCCAAATTTGATTATTGCGATACGATTGACGAAAATGTATGCTACAATAAATTATTGTTTTTATACGACTACACCTTATCTTACTCAAGAGTCAACACTTCAATACAATAGTACGAGTGGACGTCAACAATACACACGTGTGCGTGTAACGTTCTCCGTGTAATAGATGTCATTTACTCGCGTAAGGTACATTACGACGTCGTTCACTTCCGAATGAAGAGCTCAATGAAATGCATAGATTCATCAGAGACATCTGCTAATGAAGTACGTAAAAACGCATTATCAGACACGTTTAAGCTACATAGTATATTATTCGGAGACATCATTGACAAAATATAAACTATCACCTCGCGTACTACATGCAGCAGATAAGTCGGAAATGCTAGATGCAGCTGAAAACACTTTAACTCTATAGGCTCATATTCATAAAGAAATAGTAGATAATATATTATCCAATGAGAGTGTTGAGTTTGGTAGTGGTGGTTGTGTAGAACAATCCCGCGCTTAAATAAAAAGAAGAAAGAAGAAAAGAAGTTATAATAAATAAAGTTTTTTTCGTGTGACAGTCTCTCTAAATTTAATTGGTTATTGTATCTTTTAATTATAGACAGTTAAAGACAGGAATAATTTGTTTATTACATTTTGCACTTGTATTTAAAGTAAGTATTATAAAACAGAACGTTTCACAGAGCGATGCGTCTGCTAAATTGTACCAATAAAATAAAAAAAATTACAATAAAACTGTATTGAGGTGAATCATGTGACATCAAGAACAAAATGACTTAAATTTGAATAAATGAGAAGAAAATTATTAATAAAACATATTTTTCTGTAAACTACGAGTATAAGAAAAGTAGAACGATGGGGTACAGCGAATGTGAAACGGTGATAGGTTCACAAAAGAACAATGTTGCGTGAAAGTTCTGAAAAGTAACCTTTTCTCAGCTTTATCTGCACCGATAACACAACAGTAGACGATCGAACGGAAAGCATTATTGCAAGAAGGAGAGAGAGACGGAGGTAATTCACGATAGGAGCCGGAGACAGTCGAAGAGATCGAAGGAGGTCGCCTGGTGATACGCAAGATGATACGCCACGTGATACGGTCAGCGATAAATAAATTTCTGTTAAAAGTTGCATTTGACAAATCAAGTAATGATTCCTGATGTAATATTAGTGGAAACAGTTGCGATGAGGATATTGCGAATTTATAAATATGGATTAGAAATTCAATAGGACAAAAGTTAAAATTCCAAAAACTGTGATAAAATGGATGAAGCCTGTCTGGTGTAACTGAAGAAGGAAGTGTTTGTAAAGTGAATTCGTTCTTCAAGTATGCTGTATATTGTTTACAATGGGAAATACAAATTTACAGAAAAAAGGCAGTATAAATCAGTACAAGCCCGCGATTGGAGTGAAATTTAAATTAATTAAAATATAATTAATTACTCAAAGGTCATTTAATGAATTTAAAATTAGGTAAAATTGCACGGACCTGAGCACAAACGAAATGAACCGTTGTTGTATGTTACATAGCGTGAATATGATTTTTATTTTTATTGTAGAATAATAATAGTAAATACATGTGTGTGTCAGTTTGAAATATACATCGAATATGACGTTGCTATATGACAATAAATGGCGGAATGCATTGTTGGGCTACGGTCATTAGTATGAATTCTTCTATTATTATTATTATTATTATTATTATTATTATTATTATTATTATTATTATTATTATTATTATTTAGGTAATAATTATAATATGTTTTCATTGATCATAAATACCTAAAATAAAGATTCCGTCAGCTGAGAACTCGTAACGAGCGGTGGAATTCCAGGCTCTCGTTTTTAAGCAATTAGAAAAATAGCTCTGAGATCTTATATGCGTTGTGATTACGTGTTGAGATTTCAAATAAACAAAACTAAAAATATGCGAGCTAGCCAATATTAATAGAAATTAAGAGAAATAGAAAGAAGAGGAGGGAATGATTTTCAATATTAGTACATTTCGTATAAGTTATATTACTATACTTGATTTTAATTATATAATTAAAGGATACAATAATCCATTAAATTATAATAATGTAATATTAATCAACTACACAAATTGCATTCAGCGCCGCTATTGTGAAATTCAAACTCGCAATCATATGAATCCACGAAATGCAAAGTTCCTGAGCTGTCTATGGACAAAATATATCTCCAAACGTATAGAAAATATACCTCAAAATATCTTTTCATTTCCTTCGTCTTCTTCTTACTAATCTATATGTTAAGTGTAGGGACAGCTCAATAGTAAAGTAAATGAAGTGACCATGATTGTCAGGTTTACATTCCAAATCTCTGAAATGTTTCTTCATTTTGTCAAAAATGTCTTTATTCGTTCAAAACAAAATTCAAATTTTTGCTTTTGAAATGCGCGCGTTCCTTTACTTTAATTTTCCCATACTCATGCTCAGCTCATCGTTAACAGATGCGTCACTTGAAAAATTTAGAAGCAAGAGAATGGTACGATTAGGCTGTATTGTGCCTGTTTCGATGATACTTGTAATTGCCTTCCTTCGTTCGACTTAACTTCGTCTTCCATCTGAAAGGAAGAAAGAAGAACCTAATCAGTCCTCAAAAAAACCATAGTTATAAGGATAGTTCATGTTTCCCTCTGCGTCATTGAAAGTGCAATGTCACGAACGATAAAGTTTGCAATTATGTCTTTTGTGAGTAGAAACCTTACACAAACAATCAAATTAAACCAAGAACAAATATTGTATGAATTAAAAGAGAAAATTTGACAATGTATTATGTTAGGCCGGCCTCGTGGCTAGCTCTTGGTCAGCGTGCTCGCTTTTAACTACGCGGCCGCTGGTTCGATTCCCGGTCAGGCAAGATTATAGTGTGCGTTTTCCTTGCAATTCTGTGTGACGATGAGAAAAATTCACTTCTCAGGTTGAGGAGACCGGAATACGGCGTGGGGGTGTCTACGTGCTAACCACACGTACCCCTTTAACCCATGGCCGCGAGGCAGGGTCGTCGCCGGTAGGCCTGAGCCCGTTCACGGGTTGTCGCGCCAAGTATATACATAAATTCTGGGCTATCCGGGAGATGCCGCGTCGTTGGCTGCCCTGAGGAAGCCTGCGACATGCCAGGCGAAACGTCCGCCTCTCAGCCGGATAGCCCAGAATATATGGATTCGTGCCGCGGAAGCATACGTGTGCACTGTGCAAGTATATACATACATTATGTTAGCCAATTTCGGTAATTTCATGGAGTGACATCGAAGATTTGTTGGCGTGCCTGAGACGCGAGGGGCGCTGCTGGTGCGCAGGTGGAGACGGTGGGCAGCGTGTACATGGCGGTGAGCGGCGCACCGGAGCCTGAGCCGGGCCACGCGCATGCGCGCCGCGTGGCCGACCTGGCGCTGGCGCTGCTGCGCCGCGTGCGCGCCCTGGCGCTGCCCTCGGGCGCCGCCGACGGCACCAGCCTCGAGGTGCGCATCGGTTGAGTGCCACACCCCACCACCAAACGCTCGGCCCCTCCTTGGGGCTGCAGCGAAATGCGACATTAGTTCACACGAAAGCAAAATTAATAAATAATAATATAATAAAATATAATAATAATAATAATAATAATAATAATGAATAATAATAATAAAATAATAATAATAAATAATAATAATAATAATAATAATAATAATAATAATAATAATAATAATAATAATAATAATAAAAAATAAAAAAATTTCGGCCGCCGTAGGAGACGGTTGCGGGCAGCCGCCGTCTGTGCGAGGAGGCTGAGGTTCGAGTCCTCCGTAGACATGGTTCGTATTTGTGATTGTCCCTTCACCTATCTATCATCCTATCATCTCATAAGTCAACTAAAGGCGTAAAACAACGTTGTTGTAAATCCAAGGATACCAGCTGAACAGCTGATCCCTGGAAGAATTACACACGTTGGGTCGTGTAGCGGTGGTCAAGTATGGCTATACGCCAATAATAATAATAATAATAATAATAATAATAATAATAATAATAATAATGTTTAATTTGGGATAAATTGAAAGGAATTTACAAGAATACAACCACGATTGTAAGCCTTGAAGGTTATGGATTTCGCTGGAAGAAACGTAAAGAAAGAAAAATACATAAGTAATTGATTTTACGTAAAGTGGGTGATTAGATATAATAATAATAATAATAATAATAATAATAATAATAATAATAATAATAATAATAATAGTGCCGATCCGATGGTCGACATCGCTAAGGCAGTTGTGTAGACGCGGTCTCGGACCAAAAGATCGAGGATTCGTATCCCGCGTGGGGTATGGTTGTGTTGTGTGTGACTCTGTTTGTGTGTGTCTATTTAATCATTATTTTCACCCTTTCCTTCAGAGCTAACAACCATGTGGTATAAAAATGGAAACAGCATGAAATGCAGATTCCCCCTATAGTGCACAATTCGCGAAAGAAACAAAAAATAATAATAACAAAGAATGATAGTACTATTATTGAGAGCCCTTTATCACCTCCCCTATTGGCTAAGGTGGCTCAGGGAATCAACTGATGTCACTGCAGTGCCTATGACCGGGAAGCCCTGGGGTTCGCGTCTCAACAATTGCAGCATTTTCGACACCGACACTAGCTATGTTGCATTCAGCCGCTGTCTGGAGGAGAATTCTAGCGCTGGCTACTCTGATCGGTTGTTTTCTGTGATATCTTCGATCAACACCTGGTAAATGTCGGAGCAGAACACTTACACTTACATGCACTACACTACCATGCATAGACCATATACAGATTAGACATGCACTACACTACCATATACAGATTAGAGCTAGTTCCGACTTCGGCGGGGCTCCGCGGGTTGGAGATACCTGTTGGGGATACCCGTAAGCCGATGTATAGACTGGAGCCTGATCTAACTATCCCACAGGGGAAGACCACCGTAATCTCGCGCGATAAATCATGCACTACACATACGGAACTAATAACCTTAACAGTTGACGCGCCCGTAATCACTAATCAATCATTATCCTATAGCTTCAGTACGATCAACGATATTTTCGCAGGACAGGCTTCGCTGACATTACTAACATGATTTGCAAGCACGTCGAGGGCCTCATAAACTTCTTTCTTGTCAAATATACGGATTCCTAACTCCACGCTGCAGTTTGCACAGTGATGGATACGTAAAATTCTACCAATCGGAGTAAGTTTTACGGCACTCACTAAAGCCTGTGACAAAGGGAGAGGATATCTCACAGATGGTAGCCCAATTAGGGGAAATCCGGAGCAGGACCATCTATTTTGTCTAAACCCCATATGTTTACAAGTAAAATTATTAGGGATACATTTACTTTTGTTCCTCCACATCAGGACAGAAGACGCAGCTGACGGTGATTAGTTTTACTATAATGCTAACTCAATTTTCTTCTCGATGGACATGTTGTTCGATGTGACTCAATTGTTCCTAATGACCTCCCGAGTCTACAACAGCATATACAGTGTCGGTGATAAATGAGCTGCAACGAAGTCGAAAAATTACATAAAAATACTTTCAATAAGAACCTATGTTAATGAAGTCAAAACCGTAAAATAATTATTTATTGTTATTATAAGGGTCCCGCTGGTGTATATTTTTTCACCTGAAATTACTAATTCTGTTTTAACTTTCTTCGTTTTATTATTTTAAAATTTAAAATACTAATTTCTAATACTATTTTTTTTATTTTTTGACTTTACAACCATTGTTTTCTTTTCACAAGAATATCAATTCGTGCTGTTTGATTAACTATTGAATTACAATTTGCCGATCAAATAGTTAGCCACGACTTACTAACTGCATCTCTTGAGTAATCTAGCCAGTGTAGATATTGAGCAAGGCAGGTGCTGTCGGCAGGGCTGCACTCGGGGCCCGTGGCTGCGGGCGTGGTGGGGCTGAAGGTGCCGCGCTACTGCCTCTTCGGGGACACGGTCAACACCGCGGCGCGTATGCAGACTACCAGCATGGTGAGTGCGCCCTCCCACCCCTTTGATACTGAATATTTCAAGATGGTGTAAAGAATTTGTGGATATTTGAAGAGGAAATAAAGAGCAAGCATTATTTATTGCTTTATATGATATAATATTTTATTTGCGACGCTGCACTCACAGACTAATTGCTCTCTCATTCGGTTTTATTATGAGATCCTTTTTTGAAACGCTCATTCTTATAGATTACGTGTTTTATGGATTTACGTGCTTTTTTGTCAGGAATATAAAATAAAACTAATAGAATTTTTAAAACTGCTAACATGTAGTACTTAATTATTAATTCTTAACAGTTTTACGTATTTTATACAATTTTAAACAGATCCACGAACATTTGTTATAAATGTTATTCGCAAACTTTTTACAATCCTTATGGTTAACACCAAATCACAAAAATAAATAAAATACTTTAATGTCGAAATAAACACATTCAGTGTCTAGCTGTTAATTAATACATTTATTTCTAGTTTACAATGTGCGCAGATATTGAAAGCCTCCAGCATTTTCCGATGTGTCAATGACTTTCTTGGGTACCCAGGGCCTGGATGAAAATCCAAATGCAAATCTGTTTTGAAAAGAAATATTCAAATGTTTGATTATTATTTCTCACATTCTTATGCAGCACCTACTGACTTAATTCTCATTCTAACTGGTCTCCGTTTAAGACAACTGCCGTCATGCGAGAGCAAGGCTCCATGTAAGAGGCCACCCGTCGTTAAATATTTGCCATTTACCTATTAATGAACAAATTTTTTGATATTCTTGGTTCTTAAAGAACTGTTTTTGCGTATCGGCTATAATATGTCATTGTAGAATTCTTGTATTGTGTTTTTATTAAAATATTTAATTTATTTAGTTTTGTTCAACAATATTTTATTTGTTGTTCTTAAGCAGTGTGCGTGCTATTTTTGGGGAAAATTTTGGCAATTTTTTCTGTGGGAAATATTGACATTGGTGCTGTCGTTAATAAAATAATAAGCAATACATATATGATATTATCATGAACATAAAGAAACTCATATCGACTAACGCCTTCTGGTTCAAAATCAATAATAATTTTATTAGGATGTCCATATCAAACTTGTTACAGAACTATAATGGGCAGATTCGTAATGTGCTGATACTATAATTAGGGGTATAATGAGCTTGTCCGCCATGATATTGATTCACTAATATACACAACTGCATTTCCAGAAATGAGGTTGAAGTATTCCAGATAATGATTGTCTAATTGTGGCTCTAATTTTATTATGTTGCAGGCGGGTCGCGTGCACGCCTCTGCTGACACTTGCGCCCTGTTGCCTCAGGGTCGCTACTGTGTCGAATGCCGGGGACTCGTTTCTGTTAAGGTATGCTTCCCGTATGGGTGAATGTTCTTGAAACTGTCCAACTATTTGAAATTTTCCTTATAAAATTGTCATCAATAATATATTGATGCGAGTACTTGCGATATCCTATGATTCGTCATTAATGACAGTTATTCCTAATTTACTTTTGAAGCATTACGACCTAATGCTAGAATTAAACTATGCTATATTGTTGGGCCCGGTTTATCTGATTTGAAGATGTTTCTTCGAATTTTACCCATCGATTTTGGATGGGCAGTAACGTACATAAAGACGTAGGCTACGCCATTCTTACCATATTACATTATTGTTTCAATTTTATAAAACAAAGTGATCCAGATGCTCCAGTGCTCTAAACAGTAATCCAGCGACATCAAAAAATTCAGGAAGGTAGAATAGTGCTTTAGCTTAAGATCAAGTGGTCAATGAAAAATCTCAATAATAGTGATGTTTTACGGGAAAACAATAAAGGGAAATATTTCACACCAAAACATGATGCGATTCACATTCCAGAGTTATGGGATAAGTTGAAAGGTTCTGAAAATATACTGTTATGGAAGGAGACAAAAGTATTATACGAATCCTACGACTAACGATTCGTCTGCAACTACATTTTCTCCAAATTTTCGAGCAGCAAGAGTGCTACATGGCGAGTTTTAGTGTTTCTAGGAAGATATTCTAAGTAAACAATATATTGTGGTTTCTTTCCTTTATGCGAATTTTGGTTGGAGATCTGTGTAGAGAGAGCCAACTGAAAAATCGTTATTCCAAGGAAGTTTCTTTCCACAAAAGCTGTGCACTTACACATTTCGATTCCTTTCCTCCAAATTCTTGAATCACCTTTTCTATTTTTTTAAACAATTTCCTCGTCTTATGTCACATTAATTTTTTTCATATATTTGTAATCTTACGCTTGAATTGGAATTGAAAAATAATATAAAATTATTATAACTTTCTCCTTGAAAGTCTATATTCAGAATGTTCCATAGAATTGATCAAAACTAGAGAATTTAGAAATATTATACACGTTCATGGGAAGAACCCTTTTTATTTATTTGATGTTTTACGTAACAAAACAACTAGCTTGTTAATATAGATTTTTCTGTATTTGTTGGGAGCCTGCAAAAAGATGAGCTAAGAACCCCTGATGCTTTCTTGCTGCATGACACAGAGTTTTTTACCGTCTGATTTTACTCAGAGTCAACATTGCTGCTGTCACTGCAGCGACTCTGACTGGGAGGTCCGAGTCCGTGGGTGGAGAATTCTTACACTAGCTAGATAGCTTGGTTGAATTCAGCCGCTGTCTAGAGGAGAATTCTGGGTTTCGCTGCTCTGTTCGGTATATTTTCGTGGTTTCTCCGATCAACACCAGGCGCGAACCCTCACAAACAGGCCAGAGATCGCGCGTTCTTTCCTACCTCGTTCTTGCCCTATCGCTTCCCCTTTCTAACTCACACTTGCACGCGCTACATTACCACACATATCAGGAAACCAGTCCGGAGCTTAGAGCTTGTCCAGGCAGGAGCGCAGCCCCACTGGGCGGGGCGGGGGGGGGGGATTCCTCCGCAAGACATCTTGTAGGTCGGTGTCGGATGTCACCTTCCAGTAGGTGAGAAACATCGCCACTTCCAGGTATAAAACATTCACTACATTATCGGGACTAACGCAGTTTTTCGTGTTGCAGGAACCATACCACTTGTCAGGCTTGGAAACATGAATGAACGCAAGCAACCCTTTTGTCGTTGCAGGGCAAGGGGCCCATGCGCACCTTCTGGGTGTCGGAGGGGCCGGCGCGGCGCGGGTCGGGAGCGGGGGTGGGGGCGGGGGCGGAGGCGCCGAGGACCGCCTCCGCGCCGGGCCCCGTGGACGCCCACTCGCCGCCGCCGCCGCCGCCGCCGCAGCCGCTGTGACTTCCCTCCGCGGCCCGCGCCTCTCGGAAGCAGCGGAAAACGGCGCGCGGGGAACTTTCTTGTTGTTATGTACCTTCAACGCCACTCAATCCATTGTCATTTTCATTTGAAGTTATTATTATTATTATTAAATATTTAAATTTGAATTATTCAGCTTATGGCTCTTGATCACCAAATGTCACTATCATTTGAGGTAGATATGTAATATTTTTTTATAATTTAATATCTTACAGTATAATAATTATTCGTGCTATCAAAAGTGTTATATTAAAATGTATAGTACGCTCATTATTACTTTTGTTTTGGTAATATTGTTGGTCTCAAATGCTTTTCATCAGATGGTTCCAAAACGCAACTGGACGTGGTCAAATATAACTCTTAATAATGCATACACAAAACAATACTTTTTTGTGATTTTAACATTTGTTTTGTAAAATTATGAAAGAACATCAGAACATCTATGATTTAGATTTCTTCGCGAAGAATGAAGGTACATTTTATCTAGACTCTCAAGTGTATTGAAGCTAGAATTAATATTTTTTACTTAATGCCTTAAACATTCACACTATGTTGTCAAAATTCCATAAACCAGTAAAGCGTGTTTTACTATGGAAGAAAGGAACGTGACTGGCTTCAAGGTTCTGTTTAAGTAAATTTGCAAATTGAACAAAACCAAAGGTGGAAATATCTCCGATTTATTTTATAATTGTTATGACTATATTAGAAAAATGTACAGACACAGATTGTCGTTTTTCCGACAGGAAATCGTAAATGACTTTTTTATACTTCTGGAGAGATGATGGTTATAACAGAATACACGAAATGCCCTTGAGGTGTAGAGGTTAGGTGAGTTTTGTCGCGTGATTTTTTGAAATAATTAGTGAAAGGAACCTACACATTATCAGTAGGTTATGGATTCAATCTAAAAGTTATGGATTTGCATTAATGAATGAATATTAAGGTAATAAATTATAGGTCTGGCAGATGTTAAAATTTAATATTAGTTTAGATGTTAGAACTTGTTAATCACTAATTTGTATAATTGCTTTATTTAAATATTAACAATTAGTTTTGAAAAATGTCTTGATGATCTGAAGCGAATTTAAAGACTCACAAAATGGAAATACCAGAGAATCTTATTATTTGTGTTCGTGATGGATATTTGGAAGTTAAGAAGATATGGTTGACGGTCATATGTCGAGCCGCTTCAAATGTTCCGATGAGAAGTTACCGAAGCTTATATATTCGACGATTTTTAGGTGCCCTTTAATTTTTAAGTTAAATATGAGAAATGGGACTTCAACTTGCAACAATGGCTGTTACCACTGAATTTCCGATTTAATTCATTTGGATGTAAAGAGTATGTAATTAAGTTATGTATTGGTTAATTGTATGTTTTCAAATTGCCCTTGTTTTCTTTCTTTGTGTGTGAAAATATCTTTGAAATCTCCAATTTAATTAACGGAAAATTATATTTCTTTATTTAGTTTCTACGTTCTAAGTGTTTTATTATAATTTTTGCCTATGCATTCACACAAATCTGCTCCTTGATAAATAGGAAGGTTTATTTATTCATTAGCTTGTATTTTGGGTAAAACTCTTAATAGATAAGAACCGGATCTAGATGCAGAAACAACATTCTGGTAATAAGAAGTAAACTGATATTATAGTTGGTCCTGTTTAGTTAAGTCTTGTTGAATCATATCTCAGGATGTCTACAAGAGCATCTTTCACACGCCTGTGATCGCGAAGTAAAATCATCAGTGTGTTGTACACCTATTTGTCGCAAGCATGACGGGATGTCACAACGTGTTAGAAATATTTTCGGCATCAGCCAGATAAAAAAAAAACTGTCCACACATTATTATTGATCTTTTTCTAGTGAATATGTACATAAATGAAAAATATAAGTATTATTCAATAAAAAAAACTGCGTGTTATATTCTGATGTAAATAAAAGCAAATATTTAGTGAAAAAAGTGTTTCATTTATTACAAAGAAGATAGAAAAGAGAAAGATATTAGAGAAAGAGAGCGAGTGACATAGGGAAGGTATTGTAATACTTTTGTGAATAAAATTCGACAAAGGATTCTCAAATCATTTCAACAAGCAGTTGATTTGCAATTGAAGGGTTTGGAAGAAGATAGAGGTAACCCTCATTTCTAAATCCAAACACAAGATCTTAGAACGTCACCTAAAAACAATCATTATGACCAAAATGCTGAACACACGAGTTAATAGAACATACAATAGAATGTGTGTAGAAAGCAGCCAGAAGTGTATTTAGAAAATGAGACACGATGCATTCTACTAAAACTTAATTTTTTCTCTGGATGACAAAAAATATAGAATTGTCCGTTACCACTAAGTTCCCTTCAATTTTTAATACAGACTAATCGAAGATTAGCTGCTGATAAACTAAAGTAACCACAAGTGAAGTTAATCCGTAGGGAACGTCGATAAACACGCCGAGGCATCTATTAACCAGATGTCCCTCTGACGGCCACAGTTTCTGTCTAGAGGGTGAATCACCTTGATCCGCACTGTTTCGTGAACACTGGCCTATTAGCGCCAGCAGTCACTCTAACGCAGTTATGTACTGTCTGCTGTAGCGTTCCAACTGCCTCTGCTGATTCAGCCCTCAGCTGAATACTCTCCCCCCCCCTTCGAGGAGCCAACTCGCGACGCACCACCCGCCTTCTCGCTCCCGTGAGCTCACTGGTCTTCGCCCGCTTTAGCGCACGCAGCCACTGGAGACTTTGAAGCGTCTACAGAAATACCACCGGCGGTACTACTAAATCAATGAATGTCTATCTTGTGAATGTTATTTCATTGATATTACACTGATTAGAGGGAAAATGAGGTTATTACAACATTTTCTGTTCAGAATTTTTGCTTATTTACATTTGAGGCATTTCATTATGTACATTATAAGAGATATGTTTTATTGCCGTATAGATAATCTCCGAATGATCTCTGACCTACAAACAGTTAATTAAAATAATTCAGAAAGAATTAATTAAACTCACTTTTAATCAAATCAAATATCTTTTCCTTCAGTTTAACAAACCTGTGACCTATATAATGTTAATCCAAGGGAAGAAGTTGGGACACGAATATGGACATGGGCATTTTTCAAACTGGCGCAATTCCTCAACCTCATTGTGCTTGACGAGAAAGAAGAATTAAGTGGAAATTCATCAAATGATTGAAATTGTGCTCACTCCTTTTCTGTTATTTGAAACTGTCGCAGCCGTTCAGTGCACGAAGATATTATATTCTACTACATTACTTTACCGGCATTATGATGCACGGAAACTAGAGATGCTACAAAATGGCGCAGACTTTCCCGTATTAGTTTTGTATTTCTTTCGTCTCGGCTAGCTATTCTAACTTGCCACATACTCTTGCCAGCTGCCATCTATCACCGCTCAATGTACATTTTTATTTTTTTTAAATTTTGTCGGTTTTCTAATAGTAGAACGACAGTATAATTTCAAAAATCTTAAAAAATAACAGAAAAACCTCATCCTAAATGGTAATTTTCATTTAAAAAATTGGAGCCGTTTTTAAGAAAATAGCGTTTAAACGCTACTGTAAATTCGAAATTTGAAGCTATTTTTCACAGAAAATTTTTGAGTTTTCGAAAAACTTCAGAACTGCGCCTCAAAAATTTAAACTCTGCCCCTGGCAGATATCAACCGTTGAACGTTCAAGCTCCCGATTGGATGAAACCATCAACAGCTGATGCACGCTAAGTACACAAACGTACTCTGTTTTTACATACGTATACGGAAAAGCAAAAATATTCATGTCCAAACCACATCAATTCCGTTGAAAACACAAACCTTTTTCGAAGAGGTGTATCGCAAACAAGACTTGGCCAGAAACTACATACCTTTCTCAGACATGGCACTACCGTCAACGCACGTGCAAAGACCCTTCAGATGGTCTTCGTTCTCGGCGGAGAAGGGAGTGGCAAACGGCGCTTGTGCTTCCACTGCAAGGGATCCTGAAGTGTCTGATCGCACAAGGCGAATGAAAGACCTCGGTATTGATTTCTTATTAACATACAAATAATTAAGAAAATTCCGCACAATATTAAGTAACAAAATAAGTTTGATAAAAATTTATAAGCATTAAGTTTGATAATTATCAAGAATACATCAATATAGGCAACCAACTCAGTCAATACACATTACAGTACCGCGGGTTGTCTACACGTTGCCCCATCGCAATTTTCTTGGTAGTATTAACTTGTAACATCCCAGAATGTCCCCCATTCGAAAACCATATCTGTGTTAAAAACAGTGTCTTAAAAATGTATATAGTTGAGGGGGTACAAAACATTTCCAACTTTTCCAATTTCCGAAAATTCAGAGGTTTTAATAAAAAAGGGGTCATCGACCTTTATAAGCGTACTTTGCTAATTACTAGGAAATATTTAATGGAAAACTAATTGTGTTACAGAATGGCCTTTCGGGCACTAGTTAGTTTTGTAATCGCTTTAGTCTAAACAATTATTCATATTCGTAAAATAATTTCGTCCGTTTAATACTAAACTGATTTTTTTGATACTACTTAATTTGAATTAAATCGGCAATGGTCTTAAGTACACATTCGGCACATTGTGTAGGGATATTTCTACATATTTCTTTGTGAAAGTATAAGGGCAATTACCAAATCATCGGCTGCTGGCACATGCTTGGGATCTGGCAGACGCTGCAGCAAAGCGACAAGTATTTCTATTGTATTTCAATTGTATTTCTATTCTGTTGTATTTAATATCACAGAATACTCTTGCAATACCACTTTAAAAAATACCAGTGTTATGTAGAACCCTTTAGAGAATAATATGGTATGGGTTTTTAATTTTTTAAATCGTCAATTAAAGTATTAAATTTTAAACAAAAAGAAAGTAAGTAAAAATGCATTAAAAATCTAATGAATTAAATACATAGATCAGATGAAAGATCATATTTTGTTCCTTAATGTTGCAAAATATTAAATTTCTGTCATAATTACAACACGAGTTACAAACGATTAACTTTAGTATTTTTTTTGTTTTTTTTTTGAAAATTTTGAAAATGAGTATCGTCTCAAAAATTTTAAAAAACTTCGAAGAAATGTCAAACGTGTGTTTAATTTCTTTGCTTTTACTCTTCTAAGAAAGAAGGTTAAAAATCTGAGACATCGAGGTCAAATTTTCCTTAAATATGTGGGATTTGACGTAATACAATTTTTTTCCATGTCGGAGTTGGCGACCCTGATGAGTGGGTTGGTAGTTATGGTGGGACCCCGGTGGGACCAGTGCAAATGACCCGCATTTAATCAGTGGAACTCACGTGTTGACATGGAATCTGGAAATAATAGCGGATTTGCTGCGATAAAACCGGAGTATGTCCTCCTATGATTTGTATAGAAATGAACAATTGTTTATAATTAATGTTACTAGTATTTTAAAAGGAAATTGAATTTAAAAAAATCATAAATGTGAGGTTATAATGCAACATTTTTTTAAAATTACAAATTGTGGGTTGCAGGTTCATAATTGCTAACCATGAAAGAACTTTAGCTTTAGAGTGCCTTTCCGAAGATGACAAGAAAAGGTTGGCAGATGTTGATTCATCCAAAGATTCAAATGAGCCTAATAAACACCAAAAACTTAATAACGGTCAAAGAAGAATTCTCAAAGGTATATTTTAATTATATTCGAACCTGAAGTGTATTGGATTTTTATATGTTTATTTTGATTGCTCTTGTAGGACAAAATAAAGCAAGACCTTGCCCATTCACTCGTACACCTGAAACGGAATTGTGTAGTTCTGCAACTGATTTATTGGAATCTGATGCAATACCCGAGTGTTCCAATCCCAAATGTAGGTTTATGCATAGTATTGAAGACTATCTGAAACTTAAGCCAGCTAATATTGATTCAACATGTTATGTATATTCAATTAGAGGAAGATGCCCATGGGGAGTTTCATGCAGGTAATTATCCAGAGATGAGTTCATAATATGTATTAATATTATCCATTAGTATCTCAGTTTATTATTTGTAGTATTGGAATAGTATTTGTGCAAAATTAGTTTTCTGTGGTTGTGATCACCGGACATGAAGAATCTCGTATTCCTTTCACGTTTTAAGTTGAGTTCTATTATTGCATGTAGGTAAGACATTTTTGTGTTGTGACATAATAGTGAGTCTTTCATGTTGTAATTCATCTTCACATTTTCCTCTTAGTTCTTTATTGAGAAATTTGCCATCTTACTTTTATGATTAAAATTCTTTTACATTATTGAATTACTGTTGCTTCATTTTACTTCAATAATCAGTTTAATCAAATTGCAAACTTTGTGTTAAATGTTTTAGGTTTGGTTCTGAACATACCACTGATTCTGGACGAAACATAATTAATGAGGGTGTTTGGGAGGAATATCAAAGAAAACCACAATCTGAAACAATAAATTCACTCTCTAGAGATATTCAATTTAAGCTGCGGAAAAAGAAGTATGACTTTGATAAGAGTGAGAAAATTTTATTAAAATATTCTAAAAACAAACCTGCAGATAAGAAATGTGATCAAAAGACTGAAGATAAAGAAGAAGAGAAAGAAATGAAGGGTCTGGAAAATTTAGAAGTGAAAAATTCTGAAGAGACATCTGATGAGAAAAATGTATCTGTAGAGATCAGTTGTTCATCAAGTAATGCTGGTGATAAGGATATTGTGAAAAATGACAAGCCATCTGGGTGTGTGACAGATGAAGATGTAATATCCATTAGAAAAGAAGAGAAAAAAAAGGTAAGTTGAATCTTCCAAAACTGTAAGATACCTTTTTGGATATGATTGGAAAGTTATTAGTAAGGTATCTTGTTGTGCTGCGAGATAGCTTTTTTTCTTATTGTATTGTTCTTGGATATACACTGGCAGTCATAAGTTTTTGTTATTGGCCCATTAAAAGTTGTTTTTTTTTTCTCAGCTTACTATTTGGCCTTGATAGTATAACCCAAATCTAGGGCTCTGATGTATGTTTTTTTTTTCAATTTATCCCTCCCTGTGTAGATACACTCGCTTAGGGATACTTTTATCCCCACCCAAGAGTATTCATTGATGCGAAGTGTTAGGTGGTCAGGTAGCCAATTTGCTGTCATGTGCTAAGGAGTTCAGGGTGGGTACACCGCAGTTTCTGGTTCATAGTGGTTCAGAATAGAGAAATACTTCAAACAAAAGGTTTTATAAAATAATTTATTGAAGTTATTGTGTGTGAGAAACTCATAAATAGGATGCCAAGAATCATCAAGAAAGTTATTCAGGCAAAGAGTGACTTTTTTATTGGAAATACATTAATATATTTATTTTTTTATTTTAAAATGTTTCAGTGTTTTGTAAATTCATATATTTTGGACCTAAGATGTGTGGATAATATAATAGTCAAAGACCACAGTGTACAAGTGTATTATTACTCTCTCATCCAATTTTTGTCACAAATTTCAAATTATTTATAGCGTTCAAAAACGTTTGACTGGCAGTGTATATATCATAACTTAATAGTTAAATTAAAGTGTTAATCTTAATTTAAAAGTAAATTTATATTTATCTTACTAAAAATGTATGTTGAGATAATTTGGAGTTTGAAAATTTTTTCAATGAGACTTTTTTGCTGTAGATTGATTGGTCAGGAAAATTGTATCTTTCGCCTTTAACAACTGTTGGTAATCTGCCATTTCGGAGAATATGTCGAGACTTCGGGGTGGACATTACATGTGGAGAAATGGCTCTTGCCACATCACTTCTCCAAGGAGCATTTCAAGAATGGGCTCTTGTGAAACGACACAGCAGTGAAAACCTCTTTGGAGTTCAGTTGTGTGGCAACAATCCTTATGTCATGACACGATGTGCTCAACTACTTCAAGAACAAGCTGTTGTGGATTTTGTTGATATCAATCTTGGCTGTCCAATAGAACTCATCTATCAGCAGGTAAATTCTGTCATCGAAAGTGAGCAAAGGTTACCAGAGTATACACATAAAAGGCAAAAATATTATTTGAGAAAGAAATTCACTTATTTTTCTTATTATAAATGTCAAGTGGGCATGAATATTGGTTTCAGCAATATTTTCTCAAAGTTTCGGTGAGCTGCAATGACAATTAATCATATATGTGACAAAAATTTAGGGAAAAAACCAAAAATACATGCTTGGAAGTGATATTCATTTTTAATTTTAAAAAAATGTACGAGGGTTATCCAGAAAATATTGATCATTTTGTTGTAATAATTTTAAAAAAATATTTGAAAAACACAACGTCTGTTACATAACTGAACCTTCCTTTACTTCTCTACATAATCACCAACTACATTTAAACATCCGTCGTATCTGTTCACTAGTTTTAGAATTACCGAGTTTTACTGTTCTGCCACCAGTTCATTAAGCCAGGTGTTCACTGTCTTCTTCAACTCCTCATCACCTACATATTTCGGCAGAGCGGATCACAAGCACAAAATTCAGACAAGAATTCAGAAAACGGATTGTGGGAAATATTCATTCGCGAATCGCACTATTAGGAAACTGATAGTTTAGCCTTGACAATCCTTTGATCCCTTTCCTCAAAGCCTGAGCAAATTTAAAAATAAATTAGTTCTTGAATGTGGCTATGTTATATAATAGTTTAATAAAATTCAGTGGCATAATTACTATGCTCTTCTTTGTAATTAAGTATTATCATTGTTTATCTATTAGTAATGTTTATTATCTATTTATATCATTTCATTTTTATTATTATCATTATTATCATATTATTATTGAATTATATTATGATTATTATTATTATATATATTATTATTATTATTATTATATTATTATTATTATTTTATTATGTGCAGTGCAGTGGCGTGAAGTGCATGACGTTCAAACTGAGAGAAACGATTGAGTAGAAAGACATTACAGCTCGCTGATATCGCAGTGCGGTTGAAGTGTGCGATGAAGTGAAGTTTGGTATGAAGTGGAGTTTTATGAAGTTGAACGGTGAAATGTCAGAAGGATTTGTAACGTTTGTAAGTTTGTATAGTTGTTAAGTTCTAGTAAATGTTAAGTAGTGTATTCTGCCACCAAGTTCTCACACTTAATTGCAGAATTATTAATAAATCTAATCTAATCTAATCTAATCACTTCTAAAACATGTACCACCCAGCAAGTCTTTGAGCTTAGTGAAAGGGCGAAAATCACTAGGAGCAAGGTCTGGACTGTAGGGCAGATCAAAGATTTCCCAACCGAATTGATCCAGCAATTCTTGAATTGAAGCAGCAGTGTGTGGGCGTACGTTATCGTGAAGAAGCACTACTCCTTTCGAAAGCATTCCTCGCCTCTTGTTTTGGATGGCTCGCAGTAGTTTTCCTAAAGTAGCACAATAACGATTTGTATTGATCATAGTGCCTTTTGGCATGAAATCCAGCAGAAGAATACCTTTGCGATCCCAAAAGACAGTAGCCATGACTTTTTGTGTTGAGTCTGTTTGAATTTTCTCGGTTTCTTGGGTGATGAGGGATGATGCCGTTCATATGATTGGCGCTTGGTCTCTGGGGTGTTGTGAGACACCCACGTCTCATCATCAGTCACAATTTGATCAAGAAAGGCGTCTCCATCTGTGTCTTCTGTTGCATCAAAAATGTCAATGCTGTGGCCATTCGCTGAGTTTTGTGTTGGTCAACATAGTTGCCGTGGAACCCATCATGTACAGATTTTGTGGTAACCAAGATGTTGCGACACAATTTCACCAAGCAAGGAACGAGAAATGTCAGGAAATATGCAATTCGTCGAGTGATGTGCGTCTTACTTGCAAAATTCTGTCGTTCACTTTAGTCTTATGTGATGAGTGATGGGCGTCTGGGTCGAGTTTCATCATGGACATTTGTTTGCCCATTGTTGAACATTTCACACCATTTTCTCACATTTCTTTCATTCATTGTAGTATCACCATACACTTCTTTCAATTGACGGTAAATTTCTGCAGGTTTCAAATGTCGGGCATTTAAAAATCGAAACACACTCCTCACCTCACAGTTGGCGGGATTTTCTATCATGTCGTTCATTTTGAAGTAACACAAAATGCACAATGGCGGCTTGTTGCAACCAGTACTCACACTATTACGAGAACACGTGTAACGGAAGCCAGTTGACCTCCAAACAAGGAAGGGGAGTCAGCTGCGCAGCGGGTATGCGCGAACGGTTGTTATTTCCTGGTTCCCCCTCATATATATTTTTAAAAATATGAGCTCATTTGCAACCAATAGAGTAGAAATCAACAAATGAAAGGAGTACTCTTTAAGTTTCATTGAATTGATTTCACGTGTGATATCCAAGTTCTGTGAAGTAATTTTATAGCTTTTTTATAGATTATCAGATTTTTCTTGGCAGTGTCACAAATTCATGTTTTGACTGATACAATATTCTATTCAGTATCATTATATTAAATAATACTCAATTAACTAGTGACCTTAGTAGCAAAAGTTGCTTCCCTACTGGGCAGAACTTAAATAACAATTCTTTATATTATTTCTGATTGTCATTGGCTAAGGTGGTACAGGGCATTTATTGATGTCACTGCAGTGCCTGTTGTCGAGAGGACCGTGGGGTTTGAGTCCTAATAATAACAGGTTTTTTGACACTAGCTACATAGCTAGGTCGAATTGAGCCACTGCCTGGAGGAGAATTCTGCTGGCTGGCTTCTATTATCAGTAGTTTTCTGTGGTTCTTCTGATCAACACCAGATGAAAGTTGGAGGAGTACCATAACAAATAGGCCATGCACTATATTTTCTTCCTCTTTCTTGTTCTTATTCACCCCTTACACACACATGAACTAACCTACACTGGCAAATGAAGGGAGGCGGCATTGCCCTTCTCAAAATGTATAAAGTTTTCTTTTACTAACCTTTATTTGGCAAAATTGATTTAAATATTTATTTATGTTCGAATTATGTAATTATTAAGTATAATATCTACAGTATATAAATAATATACAATATAATAAAAAATATATTTAATATTGAACAAATCAACGATCTCCCTCTCCTCTTACAATGATTGACTAGATCCACCCCTGCTAACCTACCACCCATGTCGGGAGACCAGTCAAAAGCTTACAGCTTGTCCGGGTTGGGCGGTACCATACTGGTGGGAAATACCTGTGTGGGAATATTCCCCACAGAATATCATTATCACAACAATCATATGAGTACATTAGACTGAGACATAACAATAAATTTATTTTCTGGAGATCTTTTTTAGAGAATAACTTTGACTATCTTTTGTCAACCATGTATAATGGCTAAATTATAGTAATTTATTATTAAAGACAAAAACATTCTTTATCTGTGAGAGAAAGGTATCACTTCGGGAATAATGATAGGAGTGAGCGAGTTATCTTTCTGTAGTAAGGTGTCTGTATCCTCATGTGTAATATTTGATTTCATTTCAAATTTTAGAAGAATACAAAATAATAAATATGGTAAGTTATGTTACAAATGATTTGTGGCACTGCCACCAGTACAGTGCCATGCCCAGAGCACACAGGAGAGTAGATAAAATCTTTGGATCACCCATGGGTGATAGGGCTATTGCAGCTGCAAATTATTGGCTATTAAGAAGGGTTTTAACCGTATACTTAAAATAAAGTTATTAATTCAGCTTCATTAACTTCATTCACTTTGACCAAATTCTGTAGCCATTGTACATTTCTGACAAAAGATGTCAAAGTGACTCTCCAAAAAAATCTCCAGAAAATAAATTCATTGTTATGTCTCTGTCTAGTGTCAGATACTCTGACATGAGATACACACTCGGGTACTTTCTTGAGTTATTGAATTGGATGTGATCCTAAAACAATTTTTCTTACCATGACAAAAAACCTGTATAAATTTGTTGAAATACAAATTTTTATACAAATATGAATAACAGGAACCATATGTATGTGGTGTGAGAGTATTTACAAAAACATATTCCAGGGTAATATACAAAGATATAAATCAGTACCATTATTGGCCTTTCACAACTGATCTACAATTACTATTTTTCTTGTGCACTGTTATACAACAAAGAAGTATTGACAAGTCCCACCACTTAAAAAATTATGTTGAAATACGTGAAAGTGAGTACCAAAATACAAGATGGTGATAAATCAATAAGATTGTTTTTCTTGATAAAATAATAATCTTTAGCGGTGAAAATAATAAGTTAGATAAAAACTTTTTCACACCATTTTCGTAAGTTAGTTATGAAGATTGCAGCTTCTTAATCAAAGTAAATAAAGTATGCCCATTACACCAAAAAAGTATATACTACTTAAACCAAATAGTTTAAAGGAAAATGTTCAGTAAATTGTGTATGCCTTTTTTACTCTTTTCAGGGATCCATAATAAAAAGTTATTGAGCCATTGTAACCATTCATTGATAAAGAATAAATTTTTCTTCAGGGTGCTGGTAGTGGTCTCTTGCGTCGAGAAAGAATATTAGAGTCAGTTGTACGTTCAATGTCAGAAGTCCTTACTGTCCCATTGACAGTAAAACTACGCACAGGTGTGAGCAATAACAAAAATATTGCTCATACTTTAGTCCCCAAATTTGGAGAATGGGGTGCTTCTCTGATAACGGTGAGCATTACAAATTTCTATTTGTTATTAGAAATTATAACTTTCTTTTACTATTTGATGCTATATTAAATATTTTATTATTTTTTTCATTTTATTTCAAGAATTTGATTTCCTTCTAATTTCTACTAATTTTATTTTATGCTTACTAGTTTTAGAATCTGTGTTGATAACCGAGAGAAAAACTTTTTGAAGTTTTTGAACATTTCTCAAACTTGCGTAGATTATAACTATTTTCTTACAGATGTATTTTTCAGCTTCATGGGCGATCTCGTGAACAACGATATACCCGTTTGGCTGATTGGCCTTATATTGAAGAATGTGCAAAATTGGCCAAACCTACTCCACTTTTTGGCAATGGGGACATTCTATCGTTTGAAGATTACGAAAATGCTCTTAAAAATCATCCTTCTGTAGCTGGAGCAATGATAGGTCGAGGAGCTCTTATTAAGCCGTGGATCTTCACAGAGATTAAAGAGCGAAGACATTGGGATATTTCTAGTTCTGAACGATTTGATTTACTGAAGAAATATGTGAACTATGGTCTTGAGCACTGGGGTTCTGATACAAAGGTATTATCAATTATCTCTTATGTTGCTGTTTTTTGACATTTCTTTCATTTATGAAGTTGGTTTTCTGTTATCAGTTACCAAATTACATTAGTTTGCTGAAGTTTATGAATATTTTCGTATTAGGGCTTGTGAATTCATTTTAAAATTAACTGCAGACCTGTGATATTGCCTAAGGTTTCCGGGAACCTCCCACCACATACAAATATTCTCGCCAACACTATTTCCAATAAATTGAACATTAGAAAGCAACTGTAATTTAGTAATTTACCTATTGCACATCAGAAAATTCACAAAGTGATTTCTTTAAACATTTATGTACATTTTTCTTGTAATGGTTTATTTTTTTTAAAAAATTCTCTTGGTTTTGATATATTATTACTACTACATTGACTTACTTTTTTTGATAATTCAACATTTCTCTCACGAGTCCCTCTTTTATTCTTTTACTTTACATATGTAAATTTTACCTAAATTTTTTTCTTTTTTCCTCCCTTCTTTATTTTCCCATCCTTTGCAATGAAAAGGATTCACTGAAAGACTGATGTTGATCAAGGAAAATCAACTACAATTGTAATTCACAAAAATGTTTGATTTCTCAACCAGAAGCAGAGATTTTTTTTGTCAAAAACTTGTGCTTCATTATAGATTTTTTTAAATAAAAGATTTGGCCAATTGATTTTCATGAAACCAGTGTTAACCTTTGTGAATATGAGATCTTTTATGGTGTTTTTGTACAATAAAGTTATAAAAATGTAATCATTAAAATAATTACAATTTTTTATTGCATACATGTAATATACAATCGTACAATGTGAGAAACTTAAAATATTAATAGATAATAAAGCACCTCAGCCTGTCATTTGAAAACCATTACAGGTTTTGTTGTTGTCAAAGAAATTGAATAATTTAATGTAGATGTAACAATTATTCTGTAAGATTAATTTTTAAAATATTGTTGATTAAAATGAGTGTTTTTAGACAATAATTAAAATAAAGTTAATTCAATGCATTATGCCCTTTTTTGTAGGGTGTGGAGAATACACGGCGTTTCCTTCTTGAATGGCTTTCATTTCTGCATCGTTATATTCCTGTAGGAATATTAGAACATGTGCCTCAACACATGAATGAAAGGCCACCATTCTATAAGGGTCGTGATGAAATGGAGACGCTAATGGCAAGTTCCAATTGTGCTGATTGGGTTAAAATCAGGTGAGATATGTTCCACTGACAAACATCTTACACAAAAAGATTGCTGTCAAGAAGACTTACCTTTGTTGAGAATGAAATTTAATGGTTTGAGACAAGTTCAGATGAGCATACCTTCTAGATCAGGGTTGTCCAACTGCCAGCCCACAGGCCACATGCTACCCGCAGAGCTGTACATTATGACCAGCGAAAGGTTATTAGTCAAAAGTGAAAGTCTCTTGCATTTGTGTTGGGCGAGAACAATGTGCACCTAGCGTGAACTACCCGCTAGGTTCAATACTGTCTTAATGTAAAAATAATTTAAGTTTTGATTTTAAAAATATTCTTCTAAAATCAAAAATTCAAAACCATCTCGATGTGTTCATTTTGCTTGGTAAAGCCTTGACCTCACGCATGGTTCCAATTCTCCCCACCCCCCTCGTGTTTGAGAGCAGCCGGGCATACTGTTGATGTCAACAAAATGGGAAAGTTGGTAATTGGATCATCCGAGTAATAAAAATATATCCTGCAATTACGTTACAGGTCTCAGCTCTGGCCCTTGAGGCCTTTCAAGTTGGACACCTCTATGGCAGATAACTAATGGTCATACTGTTATTTACTTATGACTTTGGGTGAAAGAAGGCTCTTTGTGTATGTGTATGATTGCAAGTGTAGCTTATGAATTGGTTATCTATTTGTAATTTGTATGGATTTTATTTCTTTGGTGATTTTTCGAAGAAGTTAAAGATAAGGTCTTCCAGAAACTGTGACATCTGTAATATCCTGAAAAAATTCAGAACATTTTGATTTTGTCTTCTCGTTTCTTTCCAACTTGTGATTGTGAAGTCTTTTTGGAATTCATAAATTTCTTACAAAATCTATGGAAATAGTTATTGCTATAACGACATTCTCTTTCATTTGGAGGGCTCTCAATTCTGCTATTTTTTAAAATATTATCACATGCGGTTAATATTTGATGAGCTGAATTCAGTCTCTTAAAAATGTGAAACAAGTTTGTATTTACTAGGCTGTCTGGGTGACGCCGCGTCTATGGCGAGGGTGCTGACGTTTCGGTCGCCATTCTGCGACCTTCCTCAAGGCGTAATGAGGCTTCCTCATTACGCCTTGAGGAAGGTCGTAGAATGGCGACCAAAACGTCGGCACCTTCGCCATGGACGCGGCGTCACCCGGACAGCCTAGTAAATACTGACTCTGGCCACGGAAGCCTACGCTCTCGCGTGAAACAAGTTCTTTTAAATCAGATGACATGTTTTGATCATTTGTAAGTTGCCTCCTACAGTCAAATACCAAATTTTAAGTTTCTTTTTTCTTCCAAGAGACTTGTATAATTGAATTATGTCATTTGTAGCTGTTGGAGTAATGGGCAGTGTGTACACTTAGAAAGTAACTCGTACACTTCTTCATTACAGCTGTATATATATACCATGATGAACAGAACACATTAAGCACAAAATGTCACGCATCCATTTCAGTGGTTACGCACACAGTAAACTCTCACAAGAGGAGATAAAGCTGCAACAGTGCAATGCCCTGCAGGTTGATTGGTACCTTGTGAACAGGATTGTATTCCCGTTGCTAATTCCAACATTTCCTCTCAAGACAACCCACCAGAATTTACTCCCATCTTCATTAATCCTAGCAGCGTCATGCATTTCTCGTACTATGGTTAGCTTAAAGCCATAATGAAAATGTCAACTGATATATCAAATGATGCCAGATGTTCCGATTTGAGTTGTCCTGTCTTCACAACTTCCTGAACTAAATAATGGTGACATTTGTTTGTTTTGTTTGAGAGTGGAAGACAGATTTCACTGACAGTCTGTGAGCTCTAAAATTGTTGTACAGTGACAGTGCCTACAGCTCAGCCTCTCCGAACTCATCCAGGAAACTTCGAGGGTGTACGGCCTTGCTCAGAGCCATGTAGTTAGATTCTGTAGTGGAAACTGCAACCATCAATTGCTTTTTGGTCCCATGTTACGTGTCTACCACTTATGGTGAACACACAACTAATGAATGACCGTCTGAGAGCTATCAACCCAGCATAGTCAGCACCCACATATCACACGGTAGAAGAATCCCCTACTCCGTGCCTGATTCCCAAGTCCACTGTTGAATTGCCCTTTTCGTCACTTGGCGGTGGGATTTTATAAATGAGTTATTTTACAGTGCAAGCTGACTTACAGTATAGGTGTGTTGCCACTGACAGATACAAGAGACATCTTGGTACGGTGGTTTGTTGCCACCCAACAAGTCAATCTTGGTGAGACTTGTGCCAGGCACAATAGGCATGGATACAGGATGGCTCTCACACGTGTTGAAATGAATAAGCTGTCCTCAATATTCATTTTTGGATTCATGATGGTAGATTCCTAATTCACTCTGAATTTTATCCCCAAACAACGTTCCAGACTCCCTGGATTCTTCACCTTGAAAAGTATTCTCAGATGACTTTTGAATGCTTCTTTCTCAGAATTTCAACATATCAATATGTCATCAACTTAAATTATGATGAACATAGTGTTCTTATCTATATAACTGAGGTACAGACACGTTTCTCCTGTGATAGGAACATCTCCTAGGTTTCCAAGTTTTGTGTTGACTCGCTTGTACCAAGCCCATCTGCCTTATATCAATTCTTGTAGGGCTTTCTTCATTTGACAAGCTGTCCTTCCAGTCAAATTAGGAATCTCTTTGTTTATCAGTTGACTATCCAATGAGTTGTTTATCCAATGACTTTGATCCTCATTGGCAATGATGCACTCGAGAGATTGACTCATTTCAAACGGAACCTCCATGAGCACGGCCTTGTACAAAGTCCCATTGAGATTTGCCGCAGCCACTTCATACCATTGAATTTTCAAGCCAGTCTGTGGTGCGAGGGTGAATGCCAGTCAAATGGAATTCAACCAAGCGATTGGGGCTTAGGTCTTGTGGTAATCCTTTCCATATCATTGAGCCATGATCCTTGCTCTGTAGGTGAACACTCCATTTGCTCCGTAGTTGTTTCTCTGAACAAATCTGCTCCCTATCACGTTTCAACTTTGGTGTTCTGTAGTATTTTCATTTCATGTTATCAATTTCAAATGTAAATGCTTCTGCACATATTTTGTATGTTGTGGAAAGTGTATTGAGTTTTATTAAAGTAAATTCAAACTTAGTGGAACAAATTCATAATCTTGTGTTTTTGACACTTATTTATTGTAACTAAAATGATGAACTCAGTATATTGTATTCATTTTTGTTTTACCAGTGAACAGTTGCTGGGACCAGTACCTGAGGGTTTCCATTTCCTACCAAAACACAAGGCAAATTCATGGAAATGAAGATGAAATAATTATTTATTGTACAGACATGGTGTTTTTTTTTGAGAATTGTACATTTTCCTTATGGAAAGAAATGTCTTGACGAACCTCATTTTTGTACTTCAACTTCCTTTACACTACGTGCATCTCCTGTGATTCCAGACTCCAAAGTAAAGAGATATTACTCAACTAATTGCAATTATTTTTTTTTTTTACCTTTCATTTATACATTTCCCCCGCAAACTTATTTTGTTTTTTAGTACAAATGTGAAATATTTTCAATTTTGTGAAGAAGAGAAGGCTATTTGTAATCTTTTATTTTCATTGATATAAAATATTAAGCATCAGACAAAAAAAAATCTGGTTTCCTTATTTCAGTGCACGTGTTCCAGGGTTTCCTCTGAGATCAATGTAGTAAATTTTGGGTTTTATTCCATTCCCTCATTGAATTGTGATGTCATGAGATTAATGAAAGAAAGCGAATAAAGAGTTGCAAGATCAAAAGCATTCAATTTCATAGTTCACATATATGTGGTTGTTCTTGTTGCAAGAATACATGAAGAAATAGCAAAACAATTTTTTTCAAGTTATTGCTCAATGTTGCAATGGATGTCATAAGTGACACAATTGCCTGCTGGCCATTGTGCTGCTAATAGGCAAGTTTTTAATTTTTACTTTCTTGCCTACAGATTGGTAAAGAGAGAGAATTGTAATGAAGTGATAAGTGGCAATTTTTCTGCAGAAATGTATTGTGGGTCCTTGTTGATGGAAAAAGTGGATAATTTTTGCTTCTGCATCTAGGAAATTACTTCCTATAATACAGTGTGTAGTCAGAATCCATATTTTTTGGGACCTTGGTACTGAAAAATTGGTTTACAGCAAAACTTTCCGGAAGCACCTAAACCCTTATCACAATTTTCTCCAAAATCGATATTCCCTGATCTGGTCGAACTCAAGGGTCTACGTATTTGAAACTGTTATTTGATTTAATTTTTTATTCTAGTTTCCATGAAGCCTCAATGACGTTTCAAAATGTTCTCAAAATCGGCTTGACTGCCCCCCCCATCTCGGATAGAGCGAAGTATTCTTATGAAAGTGACGCAGATTTTTGTTTCTACAAAACACCGAATTTTCGAAAATTACCAAAGATGAAAATTTTTGACGTCTTCAGACACCAATATTGAAGAAAGAAACAATCTTAATGTAATCAATTCTTCAGAATTCGAACTTTAATTAATATCTTGTAAACTTGTGAGTTTTCGAAAATTGCAATGTTATGTTCAACTTTGTTTTTAAAGCGTCGGGAAAGTTGTTTTACTTTCGCGACTGATGGTGTAGATGTTACGCCAATGGTTTACTTGAATTCGAATCCCAGAGTGGGAAAAAAAAAAAAAAATGCTAAATGGAAACTTTTGCGAGGAAGGTAATACAATAATAGATAACACTTTCAAAAAATGCGAGAAGTGGGAGTTGTTGCATCACTATTATTGTAAGCGACTAGCGAACAACTAAACTACGTTTTGCCAAAACAGTTTTCAGATTAAAAATACGGATTCACGCGTGTCGTGTTGTGACATCAGAACTGCGTTTGTTCCATGCGGGATGCGACATTTTTGGCGATGGTCGCAGCGCCACTTCTGGTATTTGTTTTATTTCCTTCTGTTTCTTACGTTTGTAGCTTGCTTTGTGAGAGAACAGAGCGAAAAGACTGGAATCGTGTGTTAATAAATTAAAAAAATACGTGTTTTGTTACTGCTTGCAAAATACCTTCAATGTTCGTTTTATTCGCTGACGGAGGATAAGAATACTAAAAAACGATGAAATAAAGTGACAGTAAACAAAGTGGTCGCTATATGACTCAGTAGTGGAAAAGCGACCTAAAATGTGACAGGAGCCTCTGCCTTGTATAATGTCAACATGACTTTTAAGTAATAATATTAATGTAAAAATGTCAGCTTCCGGATCAATGAACCCCTTCTCGATGAGGGTTTTCAGCCAGTTTCCCTAATCCTTTGACCGAATGCTGAGATGGCCCCTTGGTGTACTTCTGAACATAAATGTAACTTCACTATCTGTGCACGTCCTGTTGAGGTCAATGGGAAATAGTTATCCAAATTATCGTTGTTGTGGCAGGACGTATATTCCTTCACAAAGATCATGATGAGGGATAAGAGCCCAAAACTGTTGCCGATTTGCCCTTGAAAATAGATTTTATTACGATTGGGTGCGATTATTGTTAACAATTTTTGCCAAAAACTCTTATTTTCTTTCTGTGTTCAGAATTCAATTTGTGTATGGCATAGGGTAGGGGTCCGAGAATTAAGAAAACGCGCACAGAATACACTTCTCCCCGTAGCACGTCACAGTTTTTTAATTGTTTGTGACGTAAAACAAATTATTTATAAAATACAAGGTGAATTTGTTTGCAAATAGCACAGAAACAAAGATCTTTGTATCAAAAAGAAAACCAAAAACCAGTTGTTAAAATATGTAAAAAAAAAAAAGTGCAATATTTCTTCAAACTAAGAAATTCAAAACCTATCAGACGCTTCTGCCCCAAAGAGCAGTTGGCCAGAGATCCAGACTAAACACTGCATCTGGCAATTTCAAATTGCTGCACGGTTACAAAATGTGTAACAGTAAACACTCTTGTGCATAAAGCGTATTTATCATGAGCCATCCATACTTGTGTAGTCAGAAATGGCGTTTCGTGGGTTCTTGATACCGAAAAATTGGTTGACGGCCAGCATGTGGTTGACGTTAGTGCCTAAACCATATTTGTCTCCGAAGAATGATTCTGTTAACATTTGCTCACGTAATCAAGATACGGGTAACCAGTTTACAACAAATATTTGTTACTACTGAAGCGTTTCGCGGCACTGGCTGAAAATAAATATATGAGGCTTGATGGAATTCGCGGGGAAATTCTACGGGGAAAAGACAATGTGCTGCTATTGTTGATAGTGGCATGAATAGCGTTTTGCAAAAGTTAAGCTGAAGTAAGAGAATTATAATTTGCAAAATAATTATAAGCTTACGTAACCGTCACAAATACAAAAAAGTTTACGCAACGTTATAGTTCCACTAGGTTACAATTCAGTTCTCCCATCTCTATCGGGAAATATATCTTTTGAATGAAACACATAGAATAGCAATTTGAAGCACTTGATTGATTTAAATCCCCTTCATGAAACGTTTCTTAAAATCTCTGAATACTAACATTGGAATTATTGCAAGTATTGAAAAAAGTTTCACGAGTCTTTGGTGTCAAATTCTATTAGTATAATTAACGAAACTTTATTTCATTTATTAGAATAGCAGTTTCGCCTATAGGACTGGGCAAGTTGGCTCAGGGCATCAACTGATGTCACTGTAGTGCCTCTGACCGGAGAGGTCCTAGGCTTGAGTCCTAACGATGCCAGGATTTTCGACACTAATTTGATCGCTAGGTTGAATTCAGTCGCTACTGGGGGCGACATCAGTCGCTATACAGGAGAGCTTTAGCATCTTTCTGCTCTGATAGGTAGTTTTACGTTGCTTCTTCGATCATTACCAGGCAAATGCCAGAGCAGAACCCTAACAACCGGGTCACGGACCGCGCGCGATCTTTCCTTCCTCTTCAATGTCCTATTGTCATCACTTCTTTACATACACTTACTCTAACATGCCGCACTACCACACATGCCGGGAGACCGGCCGAGAGCTTAGAGCTTGACCCGCCTGAGGGAGGTGTCCAGTTGGTGGGAGATACCTGGTTAGAGAAAACCCCGCTAGCCGATGGTAGGTCGGCGCCGGATCTCACCATCACCGCCACCTCTCAAAGAGAAAAATCGTGCACTACACTTGTGGAAATGACGGCTTTAGCAGTTATCGCGACTGGAATAACCAATCAATCAACTTATCAAACCGACAACTTGGGGCGCTCTTCTGGAAGAATGCTTTATATCCAAGCCCAGAAAAATATTTCTAGGGCTTAGAAGAGAAATAACGATTAAATTTTAGTGGGGAGAGTATCTGTAATTCAAGAGCAAAAGGATGAGTTGCAATATGCAAGAAGACAAAACGCTTCTGTAATGTGACATTTTTATTGCATCGAGAACGAATATTTCTCTGTTGATAGCGCATGGTGAAATATTATTGCGGTTTTGTCTTCACCGTTATTATCACTAGCCCGTCTCGTTGGAGCACTTAGAGAGGCGAACACTTCGACAACCGTAGTTTTACTTCTCAGCAGAACAGAAGGGGCGTTAAAAATAAAGAGAAAATAACTTAAAAGAATTTAAAGAAAAAATCCTCACAAATCTACTGAGCTTTCCTCATTTATTCGGTTGTCAGAGTAGTCCAGTCAACTGGTGCTCAAAAAGGCTCAATTTGTGTTCTATTTGAAGGTGCTTGCTTCGAGTTGGAGGCTTGCCACCGCGAGAAATATCGGTTTAATGTTAATAATAGTAAAAAATAAAACTATAATAGTGGTGCTACAGAATGACACATACGAGAACAAAGGAAACTAAAGCCGAAACGAAAGGAAATAGTGTGTCCCTTTGGTCTCGGATAGCTATTTGCACTTGCCACCTGCCATCTATACCACCCAAAGTTTTGAAATTTTCTTAATTTTTTTTTCTAATAGAAAGGAATTTTTTTTAGAATATTTAAGAACAATGAAACATCGTCTTAAACGGCAATTTTCTTCGAAACATTTGGAGGAGTTTTTAAGAAAATGGCGTTAAAGCGCTGCCGTAAATTCGATATTTGAACCTCTTTTCAAAGAAAACTATTGAGTTTTCGAAAAATTTCTTATGAAATCATTTCAAGGACTTTCAGTCACAAATGAAATAGTGTTTACAAATTGCTGGAAAAGTGCATATCAAAGGCTTATCTCAGTTTTCAACAACCTTGAAAACCAACGTTGACGCACATTCAGTTTCTCCAAGTATCCATTTAACGTTTCTGTTTTATTTCAATTATACTTCTTGCGGAACTTTCGCCCATTTAAATAAACATTTCTTCACCACACAAAGGTACGCGTTCAATCTCCAATGTATAATAAAACATCCCTAAAAAAATTCATCCATCCGTCACAGTTTCTGCTTAACACGTAAATCATTAAAAATATTTTTTCGTTCCTTCTGTCACTAGTGCATCTCGCAAAATACACAATAATCATGCTGAATTTACTACAACTAAACATGTTTGCATTCATAATTTTTTACGACAATATTAAGCACATCGATCAGAAAGTGATTTCTTTTAATCATTCGTTAAAAAAAATTGTTATTAAGAAAGATAACTATTAGGGATTAGACGTGGATGTTCAATGTGGCTCAGAGCGTATACCAAACCAGCACTTCGATCCAAAGAGTCGCGGGTTCGAGTCACGCCTTGGGCATGATTGTCTGCCCTTTTTCTCTCGTGTATGCGTTGTCGCGGAGGGCCTCGCTTTCTGCTGGCTCCAGATAAGAGGAGTGTGTGGCTATCTAGT